TTGGGCGACTCTGGGGCCGTCTTGGGGCCCTCTTGGGCCGTCTTGGGGGCCTATTGACCCGTCTTGGAACGTCGGACAGCCGAAAAGGCTGGAAGGCCAAAATCGTTCGAACACCTTCGTAAAATTGACGATTTCGGCCTCTTGAAGCGCTCTGGAGATGCGTCTTGAAGCGTCGTGGAGTGCCTTGAAGGCCTCTCGGGCCGTCTTGGGCCTATCTTGGGCGTCCTGGAGCGGTCTTTCGGCGACTCGGGGCCCGCTTGGGCCGTCTTGGGAGCCTCTGGAGGCCCTCCTGGACTATTTTGGATCTCCCCGGCCGCCCCGTCCTCCCATGGGGGGTCGGAGGCGGCGGCCTCCGAGGCCCAGGACGCGGAAACCCCGTAAAAAACACAGGGAAAGTGAGCCCTGGAGCCCCCATGGAGGGCGCAGGCACACTCCTGGCGGGCTCGGAGGCCCTGGAACGCCGAAACCCTGTAAAAACACATGGAAAGTGAGCTCCGGAGCCCCCATGTAGGGCGCAGGCACACTCCTGGCGGCCTCGCCCCCGTAACCTGGGTGTATCTATATATCTATACACATATATATATATATATATATATATATATATATATATATATATATATTGCAGTGGCGCTTCGCGCCGTGCACCTTGGTCCTTGAAGTTTGGCATGCCGGCGAAATAGCAGGAAGGTCAAGCCAACAATTTAGCGATAACTCCTTGTTGCCTTTTCCGGCATCGCCGCTATACTAATGTTATTCGTTATCCTTTCTCCATGCTTCTGTCTCTTTATTTTCGCCATACCCTGCGCACACTCCCCATCCTCCTCAGCTCTTTTTTGCGGAGGCTCCTCCTTGGAGTCTCTGGGGGACTCACAAAAGTTGTTTCAGGCCTTTTCAAGGCCTTATGGGAGCCTCCTGGGCGTACTCTGGGGGCCTCCGGGGGCTTCCTCGGGCCACCCTGCCTCCAACCGCGGTCTCCCTGAACGACCGGGTCACGATTCGGAATGCTTCGGAGGGTGTCTTTGGGCCATCTTGGGCCGCCATGGGGCTCTCTGAGGGTCTCGTGGACTGCCTGGAAGCCCTTTCGAATGGTTGTGGGGCGATTTAGGAGCCCGCCAGGCGGCTTCGAACGCCCAGAAGACCGCTGTCTTGGAGCGTCGGGAAGCCGAATAAAGGAGAACCGCAGACTTCACCAAAAACCAACAGAAAATCTATTATTTTTGCCTCGGGGGGCCTTCTTGGGAGTGCTCTGAGGCCTCTTTGGGGCCGTCCTGGAGGCCTCTTGGGCCATCTTGAGGTCACGTCGGTCACTCTTGGAGCGCTCTTGTGCTGTCTTGGGGGTCTCTGGGGCGACTCCGATGACCCCCCTGATTGCCCTAGCTGTGGTGGGAAGGCTTGGCAAAACGCCATGCGAGGCCCGGGGGCCGCTTCGAGGCCCGTCTGGGGGTTCCCAAAGCCCCAGATCCCGTGAGTCCGGTTTGGGGGGGGGGGGGGCGGGTTTTCCCCCCGCCCGGGCTTGTAAAATTATAAGAAGAGGAAGCCCAGGCGGGGGGCCAACCCGGGACGCCCCCCCCCCAAAACTGGACTCCCGGGATCTGGAGTTTTGGGACACTCCGGACGGGCCTCGAAGCGGCCACCGGGCCTTCCCAGCACACCTAGGGCGATCAGGGGGGTCATCGGAGACGTCCCAGAGACCCCCAAGACAGCACAAGAGAGCTCAAAGAGTGAACGACGTGACCTCAAGATGGCCCAAGAGGCCTCCAGGACGGCCCCAAAGAGGCCACCAAGAGCACTCCCAAGCAGGCCCCCCGAGGCAAAAAATAATGGATTTTCAAATGGTTTTTGGTGAATTTTGGGGTTCTCCTCTTTTCGGCTTCCCGACGCTCCAAGACGGCGGTCTTCTGGGCGTCTGAAGCCGCCTGGGAGGCTCCAAAATCACCCCACAACCATCCGAAAGGGCTTCCAGGCAATCCAAGAGAGCCCCAAAACGGCACAACACGGGCCCAATATGGCTCTCAGAAAGCCCCATGGCGGCCCAAGATGGCCCAAAGACGCCCTCCGAAAAATTCCAAATCGTGATTCGGTCGTTCAGGGAGACCGCGGTTGGAGGCAGGGTGGCCCGAGGAAGCCCCCGGAGGCCCCCAGAATAAGCCCAGGAGGCCTCCAGAAGGCCTTGAAAAAGCCTGAAACAACTTTTGTGAGGGCCCTAGAGGCTCTCCAAGGAGGAGCCTCCACAAAAAAAACTGAGAAGGGTGGGGAGAATGCGCAGGGTATGGCGGAAAATATGAACAAGAACCATGGAGGAAATATAACGAATAACATTAGCATAGCGGCGATGCCGGAAAAGGCAACCAGGAGTTATCGCTAAATTGTCGCCTTGACCTTCCTGCCATTCCGCCTGCATACCAAACTGCAAGGACCAAGGTGCATGGCGCGAAGCGCCGCTGCAATCTTATTCCTCTTCCTTTATTGTTATAAGCCCGGGCGGGCCACGATGCGACGGGAAGACCCGAGTATCGTGAGATCCCCCCCCTTTGGATGGGGGGTGCACTGATCACGCAGCCATCGGCCGTCCGCCGTGGCTGTGAAGCCGCAGTGCTGGCAAAACGCCTGATCGAAAGCCTTCACCTTGGCCAGGCGATGGCCCGGGTGTAACCTCATCGAACAAGCCCATGCCTCCCCCGAGATCGCCGCGAACCCTTCTCCGAACTCAGGCAACAGGCCAACCTGACCGTCCGAGCCCGACCGAGGCGGCGGGACGCGAGGAACACACGGGGGCGATGCGACCTCCAAGACATAGCTCCTCGGAACTATAGTCTTGCACACCACGCAGCGCCAGCGCCCAAAAAGGCCCCGAACTGGTGAGCACTACGTTGGATACACTCGTGAAACTTCGTAAGATTCTCGGGCTTGGGCTCGGCTGGCAGGCAAACTCTCTCCCACGGCTCAACTTCCATAGCCATCAGGAGATCTCGCCAAGCCCTCTTCCTCACCAGCGCCGCCGCAGTGCCCCGCAGGTCGGTACGAGGGGGAGGGGAAACCACGCGCCACTCCCAGGCCCACTGTGCCGCAAACCCCGAATACACGTCGGCACTGGTGTTACCCTGGATGAGAAAAATCAAAATCGTTGTGGCCGATTGCAGCACATCCTCGGTGTGGGAAAAAAGTCCAGCGCAGAGAAACATCCCCAAGGCCGCGGGCCTCCAAGGCCCGAGCAGCCCGGACCCACAAGTCACCATTCAAGCCCCAAGGAGAACGAGCACGGCCAGAGTGCCAGTCCGAGACCAGGCTCGCGCAGCCACTTGCAAAACAGGTCGGCCCCGACGAGTACTCTAAGGCCAGGCCGAAGGCCTGGAGCTCAGCACGAAGGACCGCCTGCATCCTACCCGAGAGAATCTGAGCAAATCCCAATTGAGAGACCAACAAGAGAGGTGACAAGGTGTCCTAACGCATGGCAGCAATCACCGAGCCGCACCTCCTTCGCCTAGGATCCGCACTAAACCCGCCTCCAGACCCATTTCCAGAGATGAACAGGGGGCGGCCTCCAGGCCCCGAGCAATAATCAGAAATCGCACCTCCCCCCAAAAGGACCTCCGAAGCAAGCACAACCGACTCAACAAACCTGGGCACCGTGCGATCTTTCGGCAGGACACTCCTAAACCACGGGTTGAATTGGGCTTCCCATCCAGCTAGGGCACGGGGAATCGAACTGCCAATCTGCTCAAATCCTCGTGCCGGCAGCTCGCAGGGCACAGCCAAAAAACGGTGCACTAGAGAGTCGGGCCCTTCTTTGCATCGGGGACATGCGGGAGTGCAGGCATAGCCCGCGGAGAGCTGGCGGTCACACGTCCACTGCCCGCCCGCGATGACGGCAAGGTTGGCGGACCACTCATACTGCTATGCGCTCTTAGCCACGCGGTTCAGCTCCATCTGCACGGTCAGCAAATTGGCGCCCGCGTCGAGGTCGTCCCCTGCGGCGTGGTGGGACGCATCCTTCCACTGGGCACGCACGCGATCGTCCAAGAAAACGCCGATCGTGTCCTCGAAGTGGGCAGGCACCGCGGTACTGAACTGCTCACCGCCAGGCACTGGAAAGAGCCAGCATTTGGTGGTGCCATCCTCACAGGGACGTGACCACAACTCTGGCCTCAACGCGTCCCAACCTATCTGGGGCAGCGTGACCAGGACAGCGGCAATAGGTCCTCGTACACCCTTCCAGCGGACTCCAGCACGATTGACATCACCACCCCTGCGAAATACCTCACGTACTCTAGGCCACACCTTCCGACTCCGTGGATGCAACGCAAGTTGTAAAAGCCACAACGCCATCCATGATTTAATCAACTGCTTACGGAGATCAATCCCAAGATCGCCAACACCAAAAAGAGCTTGCAACACCGTGATGAGGCATCTGCCGCGCTTGACGCCCGCCATGCTGGCAGCGGCGTCTCTGCGCAGCCTCAGCAGGACAAACGGTGGCGTGCCCATGATCTGGTGCCCGAAGACCGCCGACGGCAAGACACCCGTGCTGAAGAGTTTCTTGGTGATGGACTTGCTCTTGGGCTGTCGTCTCAACCTCCACACCTTATGATGCTTCCTTCTTGCTTGTACCCGTCGATTCCGCATCCGATGTGTCGCACGCCTCCTGCCTGCAGCCGCATCTGAGCCAAGGATCTACAGTAGCGCGGACATACTGCACGGGAACACCTTCCCAGCTCACAACCGATCTCGTCACTACTGGCAACCCGCGTGGTCCTATCCGGCATGGTGGGCCTCAAATCCCGAATACCAACAGCCATCGCCGTCGCCATAGTCTACATGTCAGGAGAAAGGGGAGGAGGAGGAGGAGGAGGAGGAGGAGGAGCAGATGGAGGAGGAGGAGGCGGAGGAGGGGGAGGAGGGGAAGGAGGAGGAGGACAGGAGGGGGAGCCCGAAGGCCTCCCAAGGGCCCTGGGTGAGCCCCAAGTGCGCGGGCGGCAGGGGGGGCGGGGGGGGCGTCGGTCCGCTCTCTTCTTCTTCTTCTCGCCCTTCGCCCTCGACCGCTCGGCCTGCTTCTCCTGGACACGACGGGGGGGGCCAGGAAGCCCACTCCTCCTGCTGCGGCTGCTGCTCCTCATCCTCCTCCTCCTCCACCTCCTCCTCCTCCCAAAGCCCTCTCTGGCCCTCCCCCCCACCCCGTTCCTCCTCCTCCTCCCTCTCCTCCTCCTCCTCCTCCTGCTTCTCGTCCTCCCCCTCCTCCTCCCCCTCCTCCTCATGGTCATCGTCACCCTCCCCATCCCCTCCAGCATCAACGTCTAGTATTGGCATGACCTTACTCATAGCCATCATCGTCTCCGGCATCATCACCACCGCGACCCCCACCGACGCCATCATCATCATCATCATCATCATCATCATCATCATCATCATCATCATCATCATCATCATCATCATCATCATCATCATCATCATCATCATCATCATCATCATCATCATCATCATCATCATCATCATCATCATCATCATCATCATCATCATCATCATCATCAGCATCACCAGCATCATCATCATCATCATCATCATCGTCATCAGCATCATCATCAGCATCATCATCACCATCATCAACAGCATTATCAACATCAATATCATCATCAGCATCATCAGCATCGTCATCACCATCAGCATCATCATCATAACCAACATAATCATCAGCAGCATCATCATCACCATCAGCATCAGCATCATCTCATCATCATCATCAGCCGCAGCAGCCCCATCATCAGCATCATCATGATCAGCATCATAATCAGCAACCTCATCATACTCGTCCGCATCGGCGTCATCATCATCAGCATCACCATCAGCAACAGTATCATCAGCAACAGTATCATCAGCATCGTCAACAGCAGCAACGTCATCATCATCATCATCATCATCATCAACATCATCATCATCATCATCATCACCATCATCATCATCATCATCAGCAGCAGCAGCATCAGCATCGTCATCATCATCATCATCAGCATCAGCATCATCATCATCATCATCATCATCATCATCATCATAAGCATCATCATCACCATCATCAGCAGCATCATCAGCACCATCAGCAGCATCATCAGCATCAGCATCACGATCATCATCAGCAGCATCATCAGCAGCAGCATCAGCATGAGCGTCAGCATCAGCATCAGCATCATCGTTATCTTCATCATCAGTATCAACATCAGCAGCAGAATACACATCGTCGTCATCGTAATCATCATCATGACCACAGCAGCCGCAACATCATCATGTTCCTCCTCATCACGATCACCATCTCAGCATCATCACCATTAGCAGCACCATCATCATGAACACCAGCATGAGCAGCATCATCAGGAGCATCATCATCACCGACATCACCATCATCACCACCAGCATGATCATCATCATCCTCCTCATCATTATCAGCATCAGTATCATCACCATCACCGTCAACATCACTATCACCAAAATCATTACCTCATTATCATCATCATAATCATAATCATCATCATCACCATCATAATCATCACAATCCGGAGGCCTCCCGCCTCCCTCGCCCCTCCTCGTCATGACCCTCCTCCCCGTGATCTTCCATCTCATTCCTCCTCATCCTCCTCCTGCACCCCCTCTCCACATCCCTTCGACCTCTGGCCCCTTCCCCAGCCTACACATCGCCTCATCCTCATCCTCCTGCTCCCTCCTTCCCGTCATTTCATTCATCCTTCCCCTTCGCCATCGCTGCAGCTCTTCCTGCAAAAGGCTACATGTAGGAGTGACCCTAGGCAAAGGTGACATTCGGTGCGCGGCGTATCGGGGGCACGGAGTAGCCAGTCCTGGGCGCGCGAGCCGCCGCTACTAATTCGCGTTCAGCGATCGAGGGCCACAGTGGGCCCGCACCTTTGACTAGGGTCACTCATACATGTCATTCCATGAAAACTTAGCGGCGCGCACAAGGGGGTAATTAGGGGGAGAGGGTAAGGCTTCTTAGGAGTCGCTTTCTTAGAAGGCGCCGGCCCTGCATCTATACGGTAGGTTCATGCGGCGTCGGCGCGCGCTAAGGTTTCTGTCGCTGCGTCGATCGCTCAAACTTGAATCCATGGGGGCCCGATCGTTCAAAATTGAACTCCGTCGGGTCGAGTGGCATCACCGTGTCCCTCGGTACTTCCGCGTCGCGGTATTCAGACTTGAACGCCTTCACCAGCGCTGCCAGCGCGCCAACGGCGCACGAAACTACCCATATGTAGTTGAGGCAGGCGCCTTCCAAGAAGCAAGGGTGTTTCTAAGAAGACTAACCCCCCCTGGTGAGCGTTTTCTTGTTCGGCGTTTCGACATTGGGCGAAAAGGTGTAGGGGAGGGGGGGAGGTCTGGCTCCGGACCTCTGCTTGATGCCACTTTTGCAGCAGCGCGTCCTACGGGGGAGATTTCACCTGCTCGAAACAAACGCCAAAAAAAATCAAAGATCTACTCCACAGGGGGGGGGGAGAGGGAGGGTGCGAGAGCCCGCGCCGATGGGCAAAACAGTGGACGAGGAAACGATTACAAGAAGCAGGGGTGCTTTTAGAAAGCCTTCCCACCCCCCCCTGCGCTTGGCTGACGAACAGCTCCCCTTCGCCACACCAAGGGACATGCCCACAGAACGGGCTGGGCCGGGCGTCTCGCCCGAGGCAGCCGCATGACCCGTGTGGAGCCAGGAGGCCCCCCCGCGGCAGCGGAGCGCACAGCTGGAGGGCGGCCCGTTGCAAAGCGCGGCTCCTGCCATCGCCCCTGCCCCTCCCCTGCCTCCCTGCCCCCTGCCCTCCTTCCTCCTCCCCCTCCCCTCCCTCCTCCCCTCCTCCCTTCCCCCCTCCTCATGACTCCTCCGCCTCATCCTCCAAATGACTCCTCATCCTCCCTCCTCCTTTCTCCTTCTGGGCTCCTCCTCCTCCTCACTCTCCTGCATCCCTGCCCATCCTCCATCCTCATCACGCCCAAAGGTCTCCTGAGGTGCGTTCTGCTCAGCAGTTCGAGGCGAATCCATCCGTGGCGACGAGGACATCCCAGGATGCCCAGAAGGGCGAAAACGGGGCAAGGCCACGTTCGTGGAGGCCTGTCTTAGTCAAGGTATCGGCGGATAAGCGGCAAATGGCGGCAGGCAGCGGCAATCGATTAGCGGCGGATAGCGGCACACGCCCAGCGCCCACCGTCCAACAATCACCCCCTATTCGCCGCCAGTGGCCGCTAAGCACCGAACAGAAGCGGTCGCGACATCCAGAACCTCTAGAACAACCAACCCAAGCAGGGGTAATGGTATGCTTAGGTCAGGCATGTCCCCCGACAGGCGGGTTCTGAAAAAAACGTCAAAAACAGTCAACAAATGCTCGAACATACTCGAAACAAATCGAACAATCGTCCCCAGGCTATGTGTGTGAGTAGTTGTTTGATCTTCCTCGTGTAGAGGGACGTGCCCGACTCCATGGTATGCGTACATCTCTTCCCCTGATCATCCCTTCGCCTCGGCGCCGCGAGCCCTCGCCGCCGGAGGAGGGCCCAGAACTGGACATGGACGCGCAGGGACGGCATCTGAAGAGGAGGAGGAGGAGGAGGAGGAGGAGGACGAGGAGGGGGAGGAGGAGGAGGAGGACGAGGAGGACGAAGAGGGGGAGGGGGAGGGGGAGGGGGAGGGGCCTCGTGGGGCGTGACGAAAACCCGGCCCAAGGGGAAGAGGTCCATGCCTTGTTCGGTGGCAGCTCATGGAAGCCTCCCATACCGTCTGATCGGCCCTTGCGAATCGACGCTGATCGAACTAAGTCGACGCTAATCGACGCTAACCGAAGCTGAATCGGCACGATCTCATCGACTCCCAGACGCTCATCGACGTCAACCGGCGTGCGCTCTGCGCACCGAGCAGCAGTGCGTGCACGGTCGTTCCGAATCGGGGGCTTGGGGCGGCGAGGGTGCTATGCTGATGCATCTTGGGGTTACTGCGGTCTTCTTCCTCCTCCTCCTCCTCATCCTCATCCGCCGCCGCCGCCGCCTCCGCCTCCTCTCCTCCTCCTCCTCCTCCTCCTCCGCCGCCGCCGCCGCCGCCTCCGCCTCCTCTCCTCCTCCTCCTCCTCCTCCTCCTCCTCCTCATCATCATCATCATCATCCTCATCCTCATCCTCATCCTCATCCTCATCCTCATCCTCATCCTCATCCTCCGCCTCCTCCTACTCCTGCGCCTCCTCCTCCACCTCCTCCTCCTCCTCCTCTCCGCCTCCTCCCCCTCTTCCTCCCCATCCCCCTCCTCCTCCTCCTACTCCTCCTCCTCGCCCCCCCTTCCGCACTCCTCCTCCTTCTCCTCCTCCTCCTCCTCCTCCTCGCCCTCCCCTTTCCGCACTGTGATTGTTTCTGCCTCTCTCTTGCGCAAAACCAAACATGTGTGTGTGTGATTGCTTTCACCTGAGAGAGCCTCAAGCTGCCCTCGCTGGAAAAAGGGACGCGCCTCCGGCAAATAGCGAAGACCCGGAGGAGGGAAGAGGGAGAATTGGGCAAAGAGGAGGACGGGTCCTGAAGAAGGATTGGGAGGCGGATGAGAAGGAGGAAGTGGGAGGGAGGAAGGATGGGGATGAGAAGGAGGAAGTGGGAAGGATGGGGATGCGGATGAGAAGAAGGATGGGGATGCGGATGAGAAGGAGGAGAAGGTGGGAGGGAGGAACAAAAAGAGACAGAAGGGGAGCATGAGGAGGAGGAAGTGGAGCGGGAGGGGCTGGAGGGAGAGGGGGATGAGGGGGGGTGGGAGGAGGGGCAGAAGAGGCGGGGATGAGGATGATTGGGGGGGAAAGGGGAGTAGACGAGGAAGTGGCGGGGTTGGAGGCGAGGGTCAGCAAAACATCATCTGGGAGGTGAAGGGGGACGACAGGGTGAAAAACAGCACAACGGGCAAAGGACCCAACAGTATGCAGATGCGACTATCGCGAAGCAGGTGGAACGAAGGACATGTACCATGAAACGTGTGATAAGTCTGCCAAAATGAGCTCAGTGGCGCCATGCGGACCGTGCCACTGGGGCTCCGTGAGGGAGCTCCCTATGGGTCCATGTGGACCGTGTCACGGGGCACTCTTAGAGGCAGTCTTGAGGCCTTTGGGGCGCCTTTCGGGGTCTCTTTGGGGCCTTTTGGGTCCTCTCGGGGAATGCTTGGGGGCATGCTCGCGGCCTTCGGTGTCCTCTTGGGGCTGAGGCCTCGAAATGTCGGCTTGTATCTGTTGGAATTCCTGCCCTGGGGCCCCTCTTGGGGCCCTCTTGGGGCCGTCCTGGACGATTCTGGGTAACTCTTGGGCCGTCTTGGGGCCCTCTTGGGAGCTTCTTGGGCCGTCTTGGGATTCTCTTGGGGTCATCTTAAACGCTGTCCCAAAAAAGCAAAATTGCTGGACACGAATGCACGTTTTCCAAAAATATTCTGACGATGTGTGCCTCTTCGGGCCCTCTTGGGGATCCTCTAAAAGCCGTCTTGGGGCGTCTTGGAGGCCTCTTGAACCGTCTTGACGCCATCTGGGGCCATCCGGAAGCAATCCTTGCCAATCTATGACTTGTGTGGAACCTACTGGACGCTCTGGGACGGCCAGGGAAGCTCCAGGGAGGCGGTGGGGGGAGGACTTCGTGTATTTCAAGCGCCCATGGCGGTCTTCATCCCAGGGGCCCCCAGGGCTATGTTTCCGGTATATGGGAGATACGTGTGTGTAGCCGTTCATGGGAGCCTTCGCGTCACGCTCAGGCGTGCTTTCGGTCCACTTTCGGTCCACTGGTGGCCCACGCGTGACACGCGCCGCCAAGGGCCTCGCGCCATCAGAGCACAACGGCCGCGGGGCACCAAAGCGACGCGGAAGGGGTTCGGAAAGGGCACCGACCCTGCAAAATAGAAAAAATCCGCCGACCCTGTCGACGTGTGACAGGGGCTGTTCCATCGCCATCGCCGTCGCTGCCGCCGTCGCGTCGCCGCCGCCATCACGTCCCCTCCTTCCCCTGAGTCCGTCGCCGCTACCTTCCTGCCCTTGGGCCCTCGCCCTCAAGCACGCCAGCCAAAGCGAAATACACCAGCCCATCCACAGCGAAATTCAGCAACGTTGTCATTGAGTCGAAGGGAAGCCCCGCGGGGTCACGGGGGGGTCCCGGGTGGTGGTCCAGGGTCAGAATACCACCCCTCGCCATCGCTCGGACGTCCGTTCCCTGTGTTTGTTTCGGTTTCGTGCGTGGTTTTTTCGCCAAATGATCAAGGATGCTCCTCGATGGTCCTCGCCGAAGGAAAAATACACACGTCCGAGCGATGCCAAGCCACCCTCCTGGGGCGTGTCGGCAGCGCCCTATCCGTCCCGTTTCCGTCGGCGGGTCGGCGGCACCCGCCCACAAGGCCTCAGCCAATACCAATAGAATGCATGTAACACGAAGGATCCCGCGTTGCAGGCGGCCGGGGGGTCTGGACTGGTGAAGATCGGTTAAGAGGAGGGGATGAGGCCAAATTCAGTCAAAATCGGAGTCTGGACCCCTGGTCACTCCCCCAGGGCCCCCCAAAAAAGTCCCCAGAGGCCGACAGAGACAAAAACCCTGATCGAACCTACAACCTCAAACCTGCCCGCCCCTCCTGCTGTCCGGAGCCAGTGCTGAGCCACCTCAACCACCCAGCAGGCTCCAACTCCCGTCAGCGGCTACACAATCTTGGCGGCGCGTACACGAGGGGGCAGGGGGAAGGGGGGAAAGCCTCGTAGAAGAGGGCTGCCTCTCAGAAGGCGCCGGCCCTACATCAACAGATGAGGCCCAAGCCTTCTCATAATAGACGAAGAAAAAACGCCAGAAGCATCAACTTTCGGCGATGCGCGCGGATTTCTTGGATCTGCGCCCGACCCCCCTCCCTGGCGCGCAGAGCGCGCCAGGGGCGGCGCCGGATGCGCCGCCAGGGGGCCCAGCGCGGATCCAAGAAATCTGCGCGGAACGCCAAAAGTGTATGTTTATGCCGTCTTTCTTCTGCGAAAGAAGCAGGGGTGCTTCTAAGAAGGCTTCCCCCCTCCCCCATAGCAAGTAGAAACATGAAGTAGGAAGCCGCTGCCAATAGATTGGGTTCCGCCCGCCCCCTGAAGAGGACGGAAAAGGTGAAGCCGCTCGATCATGGAAGTAATTAGGAGGGGGCTGAAAGTAGATTGGAAACTGGGAATCCACAAATACCTACTTACTTTCAACGACCGATGGTTACCCCCCTCTGCGAGCGGCCACCCGACCGAGGGCGAGGGATGAGCGTGAGCAGCGGCGGCGCGAGGCGAGGAGGCTATCCCCGGGGGGGTGCCGCGGTCCCTGGCGGTCAGCGTGGCGTGCCGCGCAACCTGGCTTGCCTCGTGCAGGGAAGGGGGGCGGTCGCTATACGGGCAAAACTGGTTACAATGATGCGCGGCGAGTTGGATGCTCACTCTGGGGACCTTCCCGAGACACTCGCTCCACTCTTGCGTCGAAGCTGCGTCGAATGTCCGTCGAATTGAGCCGACCTTGGGCCAGACCTGAGTCGAACCCGAGTCGAACTTGAGTCGAACTTGAGTCCGACTTGAGTCGAACTGGGGTCGAACCAGAGTCGAACAAATGCGCAAGATGATGATGTTATGTTGCATCGCTGGGGGATCTTGTCCGTCCCGTCGCGGCCCAATCCGCATCGAGTCCGCGGCGAATCCGTGTCGGCCTCGTCGGATCCGTTTCGTCGAGTCCGCGTCGAATCCGCGCCAGATCCGCGTCGAGCCCGCATCGAGCCTGCGTCGGGCACAAGTAAAGACACCACTTTTCGGGACAGGCGAGGCCCTTTGTGGGCCCCAGAGACGGCAGAGTCGTTTTTTTTCAATGTTCGAAAAATTCTCCTGAAAATGGAAACGGCAAAAAAAACGGCGACCGGAAACGGCAAACAAAAACGCTCCAGGATTGGAACCAGAAACCGGAAACGCTAAATAACGGCAACGGAACCGGCAAAACAAATGGCGTCCGGAACGGGTAACAAAAACGGCAAAAGGGAACTGGTGAGCAAAACGGCCCTGTTGTTTCCAGGGCCCACTAAGGCCGAGGCCCCCCGAGGGTGCAACGTAGAGGGTGCCGCTCTCGAGCCGCGGCGAGCGGGCGGAGAGGGACGTCGGGGGGGCGAGTAGCCCGCCCCGCCACCGCCGCCCCTCCTCCTCCTCCTCCTCCTCCTTCTCCTCCTCCCCTCTGGGTCCCCACCCCCCGACACACCCAGTGAGGTAGCAGGGAGCATGGAGGGAGGCAGGAGAGAGGAGGGAGGGAGGAGGGAAGCAGGAGGGAGAAGGAGGGAGGAGGAGGGAGGAGGGAGGAGAAGGGAGGAGAAGGGAGGAGGAGGGAGGAGGAGGGAGGAGGGAGGTCCCTCCCACGCTCGTCACGCGCGACCCAATACCCTCACCACCCCACTCCTCCGCGCTGCCCATTGGGCGCGCGTGCTAGATCTGTTTCGGGCGCGGCGGGCTATCGAAGGCAGTCAATGGTGGGCCAGGGAGGCACAGACGCAAGGGCGGCCTTGGGAAGGTTACCCATTCGTTACCTTCGGCTTCGAGCTGCAGGGGCTCAGCGGCATCTCCTTCTGTTTTTGACACACAGCCGGAACAGGGACAGAGGAACAGACTTGAACGGGGGCCCAGGGAGATGCGGCTGGATGTCCGCCGCCGTGCCGCTGGGCACGGGGTGGGCGTGTCCTCAGGTCCTTTGCACAATTCCTTGAGCACTCTGCTCTGTAGGAGGCGGAGGAAGGTGAGGAGGAAGAGGAGAAGGAGGAGGAGAAAGACCAGGAGGAGGAGGAAGAGGAGGAGGAAGAGGAGGAGGGTTCTCCTAAGGGGCCTGGACCCCCAAATTCCCAACTCTCCGTCGGGGCCTTCCGTCGCCGCCGCCGCTGCCGCCGACGGGAGTACTACGTGTCCCTCAACAGTTCTTGGTTCCCCCCAGACTGCAGGCCCCCCCCTCGGACTGCAGGTACCCTTCCACTGGACTAATGCGGGATGACGATATATAAAAAATGAGAGAGAACGATTAAAACATAGTTTCCTGCTACTTCTGAACAATATTCTGACTGGAGGAGAACGCTTAAAGAAATAGTTTTCCAGCCCGCGGCCGGATTTTTCTAATCGTCATCCCAAACGCCGCCGCGTGAACACGACCCCCGGTCATTTATTAACCGTCATCCGCCATTACAAGTGCCCCACCCCGGACTACTGACACTCCCCCGGAATACAGGTACCCCTCCCCCAGACCACAGGTACCCTCTGCGGACTACTGGTACACCCAGAACTATTGAGGGACACAAAACAATCTCGGTCGTCGTCGGTTGTCTCCTTAGCCACCGCCGTCGGCCACCATCGTTGCCGCCGTCGGCCGTCGTTGCTGTCGTCGTTGTCGCCACTCCCGCCGCCGTCGTTTTCGCCGTCGTCGTGTTCGCCGTCGTGGTCTTCGCCGTCGTCGTCTTCGCCGTCGTCGTCGGCGCCGTCGGCCATCGGTCATCCACGGTTGTCGCCCTCGCCGTCGCCGCCGCCGCCGTCGTAACGTTTGTCGGTAACAGGTCGTCGTCGGCCGCCGTTGCCGTGTCTAGAACAGGAGAAAACACCATAAACCGTAACTTTGGCGCTCAGCGCGGATTTCTTGGATCTTCGCCGGACACCCCTCCCTGGCGCGCGGAGCGCGCCAGGGGCGGCGCCGGAGGCGCCGCCAGGGGGGTCCAGCGCGGATCCAAGAAGTCCGCGCGGAACGCCAAAAGTTCAGTTTATGGCGTTGTCTCTTCCTCGATTGTCAGTTGAGCAGGGACCGACCGTCCCAGCATTATCATAGGCCTACCACGAAATATCCTTAGAACCCAGGCATGTTCTACGAGCAAGACCAATGCTCTCGGAACAACAGCCCGACGTGTAAAAACAAGGCAGCTCCAGCCAGAAATCTTCCAAGAACAGTGCCTGCAGACCACAAAAGGTTCTCAGAGCATTCTTTGGTGGGCCTATAGGCGAGCCAGGACGCTTCGCCACTGCTTGAGTCAGCCCGCCACCGTCGGGGATCTGCTGACCCAGGTCAATCCGGACCCGGGTCAGTCAGGCCTCGCAGGATCCTGCAAGATCCTGCACCCAAGCCCAGGTCAACGCGAAGGATCCTGCAAGACCCTGCAGGATCCTGCAAGACCCGGTGCTCTGGCTGACCCCCGTTTGAATTGACCCCCGTCTCAAGGCTCATGATGTCCGACCGAACCTACTTTCCGGCATGGACAGAACCCCCTTCAGCAAAACGTGGTTTAGTGAAAACGACCTCGGGCCTGAACCCGGCGGGCGCAAGTCTGGAAAATGACGGCCGCGGCGCCCTCCCGAGAACCGAACACGGACAATTCACTAGTGGGGTTTCTGTCCACCCCCGATACTCTAGCCCTCGATTACCAGAAAGAATCTCGAGCACCAAAAAGGAGAGCATGACCGAACCTGGAGGGCTCGCGCGTGCCGGGCCCTCGGAGAGACACGCATCGCTCGACACTGCTTCGACACTCTCTCGACACCTTTCCGGGTTCTCGACAGATTGTGTCTGGGAGGTGGTCCTCGAGTTCGGCGGCGCGCACCAAGGGGGTGGAGGGAGGGGGAGGAGGAGGAGGAGGAGGAGGAGGAGGAGCAGGAGGATGTGGAGGAGGAGGAGGAGGAGGAGGAGGAGGAGGAGAGGAGGGGAGGAGGGGAGAGGAGGAGGAGGAGGAGGAGGAGGAGGAGGAGGAGGAGAGGAGGAGGAGGGAGGAGGAGGAGGAGGAGGGATGGGGGGGGGGCTCCTGAGGAGGCTGCTCCTGAGCAGGCGCCGGCCTCGCCACTGCAGAGAATGCCCGCGCCCTCCAAGAAGCCAGAGGGGCGCTTCCAGGGAGCCCTCCCCCCTCCCCCAGCCCCCCCCCACCCTGTGCGCGTCGCTGAGAAGCACGACGGGAGCCACACCACTCCAGGCTCCCGTTGTGAATGCCATGACAATGGACACTCCAACAGTCCCATCATTGAATTTTAACATGTGCTTAAGATGTCGGGAACATGTTATAAACATGTTTCAAACATGCCTTTTGCATGGTTGACCATGTTTGAAACATGTTGCTGACATCTGGAAATTATTTGGCAACATGCTTCCTCTCTATTGTGAAGGGGCCCTGGGACACACAAATGAACACACACACACACACACAAATAAAGGATTCCCAATAACTATTTTCCCACATGTTCTGGGCGTCTCTCTCCCCCCAACTGCCCATGTCTTCCAACATTCTCTGGGGAATCAAGGATTCATTGTGTCTGTGTGTTCTTCCTCCTCCCGACATCGATCGTCCTCCACGAGGCCTCCGACGCCGTCGGTCGGCGGCGGCGCCGGCGCCCGACGCCGTCGCTCGGCGGCGGCCCGCGCCCGCGGCGGCGGCGGCGGGCGGCGGCGGCGGCCGCGTCGCGCCTCGGGCCGCGGCGCGGGGCGGCCGCGGCCGCTGGCGAGGGGGCCGCCGACGAAGGGCAGCAGCGCGCAGCGCAGGGCCGCGGCCAGGAGGGCGACGGCCCGGGGGGGCGGCGGCCCCATGGAGGCCCGGGCGGCAGGGAGGACTGTTTGTTTTGCCATGTTTTTCATGGTCGTCTCGCTGGCCTGGCGGAGGGGGAAGAGGAGGAGGGGGAGGAGGAGGAGGAGGAGGAGGAGGAGGAGGAGGAGGAGGAGGAGGAGGAGGAAGAGGAAGAGGGGGAGGGGGAGGGGGAGGAAAGGAGGGAGGGAGGAGGGGGAGGAAGAGGGGCGAGGCGAGCATGGAGGAGGAGGAGGGGCGAGATGGAGGAGGAGGAGGAGGAGGAGGAGGAGGAGGAGGAGGAAGCGGAAGAGGAGGAGGAGGAGGAGGAGGCGGAGTCGGAGGAGGCGGAGGAGGCGGGTCTGACGCAAGATGGCACAGCAACCATACGCGGTGGGTCACGCGGGCCGCCAGCGCGGAACGCTGCACCGGAATGTGGCCCCAGACACCGGAACGACAAACAAGAAACGGGTCTTGCGCAAGTTGGCATCGCAAGCTTCCGCTTCGGTGGCAGCTCATGGGAGCCTCCCATGCCACCTTGTCGGCTCTTGCGAATCGGCGCCAGTCGACGCTGAATCGCCGCTGATGGACGCTAAATGCACGCTAATCGACGCTAACCGGCGCTAAGTCGGCGCTGTATCCAAGAATTCCGCGCGGAGAGCCAAAAGTTCATGTTTATGACGTTTTGTTTTTCTTCGACTTTCGCAAGATGGCACAGCAAATTTACGCGGTGGCTTACGCGGGTCGCCTGCGCGGAACGCTACACCGAAATGGCGGGGCTTGCGCGCGACCTCACGCGGGCAGCTTGGGCGCGAAGGCCAGCCTATGTCATGATGATGACGCTTACTCGGTGATGCTGTCAGCGATGGCCATTACTGCATGGCTGGCCTCGTCAAGGACGATGACATCGGCAACAGTGAGGGAACAAGTCGATTCTCGAAGGAGCTGCCTCATAATGTGATCGGGGCGGTCACTGCGCAGACCCCCGGACATCCGCCCACCCCTCTCGTTCTGGAAGATCGTCGGGTCGGGCGAAAGGGGGGGATAGCAAAGGGGGGGGTTGAGAATCAGCTCACGTAGCTGATTTCCCCGGCGCCTCCCGGCGCCGGAGGCGGCTATGTATCGAGGAATGGGCCCCTCGGTGAGGCCGAAACCAGCTGCATGCAG